TGCCACTACCAAGTGATTTAAACAAACATTCAGGGAGGGCCACTTGGAGCCCTACCTCCCCCGCTAAATATTTCCCCAAGCCCTTACACCCCCTTTCCTGGGGAGGCTCTAGAATAATATCCTAACCAATTGGTTACAAAGTGAGCACAGATCAACCCCCCTGGGTCTTTAGGACACTGAAAAACAATCAGGTTCTTAAAAGAAGTTTATTTAAAAAAAAATAAAAGAATCACCTCTGTAAAATCAGGCTGGAAGATAACTTTACAGGGTAACAAAAAGATTCCAAACACAGAGGATTTCCCCTCTAGGCAAAACTTTAAAGTTACAAAAACAGGGATAAACCTTCCTCTTAGCACAGGGAAAATTCACAAGCTAAAAAAAAAGATAATCTAACACATTTCTTTGCTATTACTTACCATTTCTGCAATACTAGATGCTTAGTCCAGATATGGCTTAGGGAGATGTATTTGCCCTGCCCTGGTTCCTTTGCTGACTTCGAGAGAACAAAACAAAAGACACAAACAAAAACCTACCCCCACAGATTTGAAAGTAGCTTCTCCTTTTATTGGTCCTTTTGGTCAGGTGCCAACCAGGTTATCTGAGTTTCTTAACCCTTTACAGGGTAAAGAGGGATTTTATGCTACCCTTAGCAGTATGTTTATGACAGGATGTGTAGCAGCTTCCACTTTTTGCACCACCAGAATACTGCAAAAGGAGAGGAGCAGAGCTCAGAATATACCCCAAAGTATTGATTTGTGGCCTCTTGACCTTTTTGATATAACATGTTTGGTCCTTATGCTGTAAAGCTTAGACTTCATTGCTGAAGTATGATTTTTTTTTCCTTCTTTTCTTTGCAAAGTAGTGCTCTCCCTCGTTTGTTCTTCCTTGTTGCCTTGCCATCAACAGCATCCCAGACTCCAGTGACATGCTGTTTGAATCCATTTGGTTCCAGTGACATAAAGAAAACACCTTGAACAGAGTAGTTGGGGAACTGCACAAGAAGTTGAATGGAACAGTGCCAGCAATAACATCCATAACACATTAGTTAAAAAGAAAACATGCTGATGCTGACAGCCCAGATAACTTTCTCATGAAAGGTGACACGTTTCTTTTAGCCAGCAGGCTGCTATGTTTTCCAATAGACTTCTTTCCTGCAAGCTTTTTTTTTTTTTTTTTTCTTTGTATCATAAAAAAACTTGAGTGGAGATGAAATCAAATCTTTAGGCAGTTGTTTTTAACAAATTCACTGTCAGTTATGTGAAGCAAAATCTATCTTCAGTACTGCCCCATGTACCTGCCAATAACAGGATGATGCCCTTGTACCTGTCCCCTCCATGGGAATGTTGCCTATGAAAGTGCCAGTGTGAACACGCCTAAGAATGTAATCATGTTCTGTTGCTGCACAGAACTTGTAGAGGAAACATGCAGCTGTGAGGTTAATCTGAGTTTAATAGTATAAATTTCAAAGCTTGTATGTATTGTTTCTGGAGCGTTAGGAGATCTGGTGTTGGATGTGGTGGTAGGTTTTCTTTTTTCAAAATTGTCTTACTAGTCAGAAATAGTGAGTTGAAGTAGCCTGCACATTTAAGTGGATATTCTCTATTGTTTGTACCTTAAATTACAGGTATGTTAGGAGAAAATGTAAACTCCAGGCTGAGACTAGACTAAAAAGGATTACTCAGGGTGGCCAAGGGTTCTTTGTTACTCCTCCCAGAAAAACTTTAACATGCCTGGGTTTTTTTTTTTTTAATTTGACACTAACAAAGATTTTAGTCAAAATAATAGACTGCCTAATATTAGGCATAAATTCTATACTAGAATAACTTGGTAACCATAAGATTCCTCCCCCCGATTTAAAACCAAATAGTGCAAAAGCAAAACTTCAGCTTTTGCATTTCCCTTTAAAAGCATACACTGTGTGTGTGTGTGTGTGTATATACATATAATGTATGTACACACACAGTAGATATAACTATGCTAGACACTTGCCAAATACGTAAGACATAACTCTACCCCAAAAAGCTTTCCTCCTGATAGTTTAAAAAAAAATCCCAAACCACTCAGCATTATAATACAATCAAACTTCTAACTCTACCCCGATATAACGCTGTCCTTGGGAGCCAAAAAATCTTACCGCATTATAGGTGAAACCGCGTTATATCGAACTTGCTTTGATCCGCCGGAGTGCGCAGCCCCGCCCGGAGCTCTTGCTTTGATCTGCCGGAGCGCTGCTTTACCACGTTATATCCGAATTCGTGTTATATCGGGTCGCGTTATATCGGGGTAGAGGTGTATTCCCTCTTTTTATACATAAGGAATGCTGAGGTTTCAGACCCAACTGCATGCACTGTCAAATTGCTAAAGGTTGCCCTAGCATTTCCTTGGATATAAAATCAAATCTCTCTTTATAACAAGTAAACATTACGCTATCTGTCAACAGCAAACTTAAATTGCAATGTCTTTCTAGGGTATGTTGATCTCTCTCTCTCTCTCTCTCTCTCTCTCTCCCCCCCCCCCCCCCTTCTTGTTTGCCTCATATTGTGTCTCATATATATCTGTCAGTCTTCAATCTAATTTTTCCAATTGTTCAAGTCTAAATTTCAGCTCTTTCTACATTCATCTATCACTTCTTCTTTTCAAGACATTTCTCTGCTTTTGTGCCCTGCTCTGCTTGTTTCACTCACTGCCTACCCCCACTTTCTCTCTAGTGCTCTCTCTGCTATTTGGTACAGCTTTATGCATTCCTAAGCATCAATCAGGTTGCTAGTTGTTAGATTTATTTTGTCCATCACTGGTGCATGCAAGGATGGAGTGATAAGCTTGCTCTTCCTGTGGAGTTCCTGAACTACATGTGAGAGATTCTCTCCCTTCAAATGACTGAACTCTGCAATGCTTGCAAGCACTGTGCTGCCCCAGTATTCATAATTGTTGATTTTTTTTAAAAACATTTGTAAAATGTGAGTTGGTGAAATGGATTGTTAGTTTGTGTTTTTGTTCCGTTTACTCTGGTTCTGTCTCTTATCAAATCTGGTCTTGTGTTCTCGCTGGTTGTATTTTTCTCTTTTCCCCTCTTAGCCATCCACCTCTGGTTCCCTTTTCTTTCTACTTCTTTCCTTGCCTTTCTGCAAACACTCTCACAAAGTAAACAGTTGAGGGGTGCAGGAGCAGCTCCTCTATTTTACTGCTCCCTTTCTTCTCAAAGTTTTAAGTGAGTATAAAATTTTCTATGCCACATTGATTCAGTAGTACATCTACAGAGCTAAGACACTGCCGGAAGACTTTGCATAGGAAACTGTTTTAGCATCTGTTAGCTTAAGAACCAAATCCAGAATACTTGGGGATGGGAAGAGAGAAATAGAGGCATGGTTTTGTCTGCTGCAGAGTATGTGATACTGAAGCAAAAGGTTAAAGTGCTAATCATTTATAGTTGGAAGGGCTTTTGAAGAATTACTGTTATTGACTAAACAGTTAAACATTAATCTAAGTTGTATTAGGATATGATTTTAAGCTTCTTAGATATTGAAGGAATTGACACTACTCTTATAGTTAGAAAAACTTTTAACTGCAGTTTAGAAGCAGAATTCGAAGTTAGTCAATGTTTATGGAGTGAGATAAGTGCAGTAGTAACTTTCACAGATAGACAACTGATCTATAATCTGTTTATCTTATTTTAAGACTAGTCTCTTCCTTTGTCATTTCTTCTCCTGCTTCCTAAATTACAATTAGGTGGGGAATTTGGTTTTCCTGACATTGTTTTCAGTAGTAGTAGTGTGTATGGTGGTGGGTTTTTTTTGTTGTTTTTTCCAGTGACAAAAGTGGAGGTAAACATATGTAGTAGGTTTAGGAGTGAGGAATCAGCAGAAATCAGAAAAGCTTAAAGAAAGACCACTATCAAATTCAGACAAAAGAAAACTGCTGTTGCAAGTTAATGCCATTCTTTTGGTACTTTTGTATTTTAATGGTTTTGATACATTTCTGCTGTTGTTTAAGCAGCCTAAATTATTCTCCTTCAGTTCTGTTTTCTTTTGCTTTTCTTTTGTCTGGAAAACACAGTGGAATCTAGTAGGACAGGAGGCAGTTTATTCACTATTTTGTGGCCCTGTCACTGGCCATTATCCTTCTGGCTCAGTTCATGTCACTTCTTGTGTGGAGTAAAGAAATGCCCATTTTAAAAAAAAAAAAAAAAAGTTAAACTCACAGACACTCTGGCATTGCTTTAACTTTGAAGAATAAGCAGTATTAAACAAGTGAATGTTTTCAGTGGATGCATGGAGTTCCCACCAAATAATCCATTTTTGCCTTGTAATATCCCTTTTGGAGTTGTGTTTACAGTAGTTTAACTTGCACTCTTGTTAGGTTGAATTAACTTGTAAGTGCTATGACTGGGTGCAAAATAGTCTTTTATTTGCATTCTAGTCTTTAGTTTCAATTTTTTTCTTATGTATTTGTAAAATCACAACAAGATACTGTATGAGCATGATGATGCATCTCAAAGATTCTTGATCAAACAAGATAAAATTTAAAATGTCTCCTTGGAGAGAGTGTGCATTTTCATCAGCTGTGGAATTAGATGTCATATTCTTGCACTTGAATAGGATAGAGATGTTATACCCAATGGAAGTAACGTTTTGAGGAACTTGTTCTGCTGTTGCTAGAATCTTGTCTGTTTGTATGGCTGATTTAACTCTTCCTTACTACATCACTCTTCCATTATAAATAAGGGCACTTAGCTTTTGAGGACATTCTTGTTACAAGAGTGAAATGTAGCTCTTACTAGTAAAGGCAAACAGGAGAAATGCGTGAGATGTTGCAAAAACAGCGTGCATTAGTTTCTCCTCAACTAACAGTTTGTTTAATTTTACATCTTAGTTACCCTTATTTTTCACATAGCAATTGACTATATAACTATAATAAAGTGTGTTTTTAAAATAGAAGATATATTATAATATATCTTTGCAGTGAAGATATATTTATCTTAACATACTTCTTTTCTGTTTCAGGCATCTATTAGCAAGCTAAAAGTGACTGAACCATGGCTCAGTTTCCAACACCTTTTGGGGGTAAGATTTTTGTTGTTTGTTTTTGTTTTAAAATCAGAAAAATTACATTCCTTTCTAAATGCATTCTAGATAGTAATGTCCATGAGACCCATTCACCTAATGTTTAGCCATCTGCTCTTCTGGTACTCTAAGGTGTGACAAAGTGGGTTTTTCCTCTTTATTATGTTGTACGTGAGCCTATGTGAGTCTTACTGTTTTGCATGAATAGTGTGTGTACCTCAGTTTCCCTGTGTATTGCACCAGTACCTAGGTGGTGGGAATAAGAGTGTGTGACTTTTGCTGAGACCCTCAGGAGCAGGTGAGACAGCTCCAGCTGCCTGCATGTAAGCAATGGACGGTGCCCCTCGTAACCGGAGACCCAGGAGGGGGATGCGACCAGGTGACACTTTGCCTGGGAAGGGAGACAAAGACCAGGAGGAGGGGCAACGGGCATGTCGGAGGTCAGCCAGGCAGTCTGCAGTTGGGGACTCAGAGGGGGAATGGACTTCAAGTAGGAAAGGAGTCAGGCAGGATTGGAAAAGAACTGTCTCCAGGGGCAAGAAGCCCTCCATCCTGCCCCCAATCTCATAATGGGAGCAACACTAGATGGGCAGTATGCCAGTTTGAAGATCACACCTGAGTCCCAATAGCCCACACCTGTGGCTCTCAACCTTTCCAGACTATAGTACTGTATCCCTTTCAGGAGTCTGATTTGTCTTGCGTACCCCCAAGTTTCACCTCACTTAAAAACTACTTGCTTACAAAATCAGACATAAATATACAAAAGTGTCACAGCCCACTATTACAAAAAAAATTGCCTACTTTCTCATTTTTACCATATAATTATAAAATAAAGTAATGGAAGTATAAATATTATACTTACATTTCAGTGTATAGTATATAGAGCAGTATAAACAAGTCATCGTTTGTGTGAAATTTTAGTTTGTACTGACTTAGCTAATGCTTTTTATGTAGCCTGTTGTAAAACTAGGCAAATATCTAGATGAATTCGTGTACCCCCTGGAAGACCTCTGTGTGCACCCAGGAGTACACCCTGGTTGAGAACCACTAGCCCACACCAACACCCCTATAGTTACACCTCTGACTGTGGAGCTCAGCTGCATCCCCCCTCTGCTTTCATGTAGATTGCAAATGGAGGGCTCTGAAAACTGTCAACACCAGCTTCCTCCCACTTCCACCTGTATAAAAACCCATATATCAACCCCTTCCTTCCACTCATGGACCCCTACTCATATGCAGGCTGAGACCTCCAGGGCTAGCACAGGCTGTCTGGCCCACATAGGTCTCATGCAATACAAAAGAGCAGAGCTTCTGGGGAGCCCATCCATGAGCTCTAGGTTACTTTCTTCCCTGAGAGACCTAGAAGGGACCCGTGTGGGGAAGGGGAGACACAAAGCCTAGCCTCTTTGAGCACAGGCAGATTGGTAGCCATTTGAAATATATTTTTGGAGCAAACTCTGAGCCCAATTACACTTCCCTCTCTGAAGCTAGATTATGGGGACAAACTCCCAAAGGGGAAATAAATGAATCATAAAATCAGTGCTTGGTTCCCCTGCTCACCTTCGCGGAGTGCAGCATGGCAGACCTATGCAGAAAAATCAGATCATGGACAAATGTTGATCTTTCTAGGCATGTATTATGCCCCTCTCTATCTCCAAAAACGGGAGTTCTTCTTTCTTTAGGATGGAAGGCCTGCAGTCTAGATAAGACAGAGAATCAAATAGCAAAATAATAATTATTAAAAACCCACAATAATATAGCATAGGCCAGGGGTCGGCAACCTTTCAGAAGTGGTGTGCCGAGTCTTCATTTATTCACTCTAATTTAAGGTTTCGCGTGCTGGTAATACATTTTAACGTTTTTAGAAGGTCTCTTTCTATACATCTATATTATATAACTAAACTATTGTATGTAAAGTAAACAAGGTTTTCAAAATGTTTAAGAAGCGTCATTTAAAATTAAATTAAAATGCTGATCTTACGCCACCAGCCTGCTCAGCCCCCTGCCGGCCTGGGGTTCTGTTCACCTAGGCCAGCAACGGGCTGAGTAGGGTCTGTGGCTGGGACCCCAGATCTGGGGGTGGGTGTTTCAGGGGTCAGGGCAGAGGTCTGGGGGAGGGGGTGCAGGGCAGAAGGCTGGGTGTGTGTTGGGATGTGGGGGGGGCAGGGTAGAGGGATGGGGCTGGGGGGGGGCAGGGCAGAGGGCTGGGGGGCTAGGCTCGTGGGGGTGCTCCCAGCCCCCTGCCCTGAGCGGCTCATGGCAGGGGGCTGGAAGGGATATGCCTTGTTCCACCCCCTTCCCCCAGGCTCCATCCCTACCTCTCTCTGCCTCCTAAGCTGAAAATATGCTTAGGAGACCCACAGCCACCCAAGATGAGCTATAGCGATGTGTCCCTCCGCATGGACCCTGGGAATGTTTAATGGAGGGGTAGAAATGTCCTGAGCATTGCAGTGCTTACTTCTGTCCAAGTCCCTAATAGTTCTTTTTCTCTCAAAGTTTTCTTTCCTTTCATCTTGCATTGTGTTTTACTCATTCTTTGCTTTCTTCTTGGGGTATTGTCTGTACCCTACAGCAACTCAGTTACAGTGCTGCAGCTGTGCCTTTGTAGCACCATAGTGTAGATGGTTCTTACGTCGACAGAAGGGCTTTTTCTGCCAATGTAGTTAATCCACCTATCTGAGGGATGGTGTGATAGGTTGATGGAAGAACTCTTCTGTCAACCTGGCTGCCTCTGCATAGAGGGTTAGGTTGACCTAACTGCGTTGCACAGGACATGAAATTTTTCACAGCCCTGAGCGATGTAACTAGGTCAATCTAATTTTTAAGTGTAGACCAGGCCCTAGTGTTTCAGCAAAACTTTTTTCTGTATTTTGAAGAGATGTTAGTCCTTTCCTGCTGAAGAAAAATATATAGAGGCTCAACTTCTATGAGTTCCTACTCTTTTTGGTAGAGTCTTCAATGGCTCAGGGACCATATTCTAAAACTGTTCGAATGGGGTTTCTGAAAAACTGACATGCTTTATGGTTTGGGAGACCTGTGTGGATGATGTCCAGATCTCATTAATCCTACATTTACAGTATTTGGGCTCAATATTGGAAGCGCTCAGCATGTTACATGTGGGAATTTCATTCACAGAGCAGTTTCTGAATCTTGTTGACTAGTCTTAAACTCTGGACTATACTGTTTGTGTCCTGTCACACAAGATGGATAAACTGTTTTATGAACAAGTTGTGTTTGAAATAATGTTTGGACCATGTTTATATGAAGTTCTTAAATGGGTGTACAGAGCCTTTGAGAATTACCCATAGTAATTGGGAGTTTTCTTCTCTTGCAGTCTGATCATTTTGTCAATTTAATTTTCTGTTCCAAAAAATAAGTCTGAAACAGTTGAGTGCTCTTTCACTTTTTGATGAATGAAACTGAACGATTATCTTTTAGGGTTCCAGTGTCTGATAACGTACCTTAAAAAAACCCAGATTTGTTAAAAGCTTTAAAGGACTGGCCCAGGTAAACTTAGGCAATGATGTAGAAATAAAGAACAAGATCTAGACAACTTGTTATTGCAAGTCTGTATCTTTAATGTCCTATTCAGGAGAACTGTATTTTGTTAACATTAGATGTCTTTGGTTTCCTGAGATTCTGGCCAGCAATAGTTAGTTATTACTGCTGCAGCAGAGCTAATAAACATTATATGCTCCTGGAAGTGTTGAAAGACAGTGTTGTATTACCAATCCAAAAATTATAAAGACCAACCTTATATGCAATATTGTGTAATAGTATCTTAAATTATTTCTTAAGTGAGAGATGAGATGTTGTAGTGTTGGCTGTAAGTATAAGGAAAAGTAACCTGGAGGACAAAAGAGAAACTTTATGAAGAGAAGAGAAACAAATGCGAAAGTGTCCCGACTAGACAGTGGAAGTAGATTCTGTACATCTGTACTGAAATCTGGAGAAGGCATTCTTAATGTCACTGTATTGTTTAAATAAAAAAAAGGTAGTTTAATGTGAAACTTATTAAATATTGAACTACAAACTTTAAATTTGCTCTGGAGGATCCAAATAGTACAAAATACTCCTACATGTTGAATTTCTCATTCATTCAGGAGTATAGTGTGGGTGCTCTCTTCCTGCCTTGTGCTTTTTTGTTGCCTATTTTATGTCCTCTTGCATGTTCACATCCTTCCTGGATGAACAGGTGGCATTTATTTCTACTTCTGTGATGGTACAAACCCATTTAATGCATGACTGTTGATGACTTGTGACACCTCTTCACTGTTCGGTTTAGAAGAAGAGACTGCATCATGTGCTGCTCAGCATGTGCTGTTTGAGTGGGATTAGTTTCTTAAATAAGCAAAACCACATGAACTTTCCATGTTTTCTTTCATTAAACAGACACCTTTTAAATGTTGTCATCACAAATTGCATTACATGTTGTGTAGATTATTTATAACCTAAGATATCAATGAGCATAAAATTGCTGAAGCATTGTTCAGGAGTTCATTTCAGTCTTTGGTGGTTTGTTATGGTAAGACTGTCCATATGGCTGCCTATTTAAGAATATGTATGAATGCAACTGTAGATTAGTTGGATATGAGATTTTTTTATCTAGTCTAATACTTAAATTTTCATAGGCAAATTAATTCTGCTAGTACCACCAAGTCAGAAGGTTAAAATGTTAAAACTTTGTGTACAGAAGACTTGTAAGGGGGAAAAGTAGTGTATCTTTTATGTACTTGTTTCTGACTTCTATATTTTCTTTCTACACAAGGCAACCTGGATATCTGGGCCATAACTGTGGAAGAGAGAGCTAAACATGATCAGCAGTTCCATAGTCTGAAACCAACATCTGGATTTATCACTGGTAATTAGATAGTTTTTCACATCTAATTCCATTTAATAATATCTAGAATTCATAGTAAATAAGTATGTACAAAAATTTATGGGAAAAATGGAGGCATGATTTTATTCATACTGTATTTCAACTCTCTTGTATCTCTCGGTCACATCAATGCCATCTCTTTTTGAATATTGCTGAAAACTTTGTGTCTTCTCCCTGGTTTATATCACTTGATTTTTCTCTTGTGTCATTCTTGCAGTCATACCTGGTTCTCTAAAGCAATGCTACTCTATCTTATAGAACTGCTTGTTACTTCACAATAATCATTGTCATAGAATCAGAACCACAGAATCATAGTGGGATGACTTGATGTTACTTAAATTAGATGACTGGCACCATTGCGATACATTGTCATGTTGATTGATCAATAGACGCAAAAGACAATCTAATTGTAAGTTGCACCTTTTAAAATAAAATCTGTTTAACAATTTAGTTAAACCAGTGCAAACCTCTGTATGGACAGCCTTGTATATCCATTTACAAGTGGCTTATATCAGTTTAGCTTGTGAGGATTAAGCAATAAATCCACAGACATGGCCAGAGGCGTAGCGAGCGCCCTCCAACCGGAGGGGGCCCCGCAAGGAAGGGGGCCCCTAAAAGTGGCAAAAAAAATGTAAAGTATAACTAGGTAAGTGACATTTATTGACGCTATTGCACAATCCATGTCGGTTTTACTGACAAAACCGTGAAGTTATTATGATATATCATAATGCTATTGGCTACATCAGTTGTCTGTCGGTCAGTTTCGAATTTTAGTTGGACCCATTCAAAGAATGTGTATTTGCGTTCATAATGGCGGTCGGTGGATAAATGTTATTAATTTAGTTTAATTTTTTATCGTTTGAAACGATTCGTTTCCAACGCAGAAGCGTGCTTTGTGATGTCTAAGAGAACGTATAAGAGCGGAGCTAGTAAACGAAAGGCAGCAAAAGATGCCGAGAAGGAACTTGAGAAAATTCCAAACTTGTCAACGTATTTTGCGCTGCAATCCAACGTACAGGTGCAGGCACATGAAACGGACAGCGCTAGCAGCGATGAATCGTATCCAGAAGTGCTTCAAGTGAGGTCGAAGGTGAAGCCAGTTGTTCTACCAAACAAACTGTGACAGATATTCCAGCTGCTGCCGGGAAAGAAGTATCTGAATCTGAACCACTGACTGATGATCCAGGAGATTGGCCGTCTATAATATCGGACAGGCAAGTGTGTGACATTGTTGCACGTGGCCCACAGCAGCAGAATGAAAGTTACGAATTTCCATTTAACGAGGAAAGACGGAGGTTCACAAGTACTCATTTCTATCGAACCATGGCAAATGGCGAGAAAATAAGACGTTCATGGTTAATGTACTCAGTTCAGAAAGATGCCATTTTTTGTTTTTTGTTGTAAATTATTTGGCACTGGCGACATACCGCTACGTCGTGGAACATCTGCTTGGAAAGCACTGTCAAAAAGACTTCAGCAGCATGAAACAGGCAAAGGTCATCAAGACTGTATGGTGAAATGGTTTGACCTTTGGTCAGGCATAGTAAACGGTACATCTATTGACCAACTCGAATTGCAGGCTTTTCTGAAAGAAAGAGATTTCTGGAGAAATGTTGTCAAACGCATGGTTGATGTCGTTATTTTCTTGTCCGAAAGAAACTTGGCATTTCGAGGAAGTAATGAAAAGCTCGGCGATCCTTCGAATGGCAACTTTTTGGGACTGTTTGAATTGCTTGCAAAGTATGATACTGTCCTCAGCGAACTTTTAAGGAGGATTAAGAAGGCAGAGACACATGTTCAGTACCTCAGTCCACAGATCCAAAACGAGCTGATTCAACTTGTTGCCAGTAACATTCAAGAGGCCAACATAGCGCAGCTTAAAAAAGCAAAATATTATTCAGTTATTTTGGACTGTACTACCGACGTGTCACATGAAGAACAGATGTCTGTGGTGTTACGCTTTGTTGAATGCAACGGTGAAGATGGTGTCAATATTCGTGAAGCGTTTGTTGGTTTTCTTAATGTTCATGATACAACTGGCGAGGGCTTATTGGAAGCGTTTCTTGAAAAGGCAAACAACTTAGGAATAGACATTGCTGACATGAGAGGCCAAGCTTATGATAACGGCACAAATATGAGAGGAAAGAATAACGGAGTTCAAGCCCGCATGCTAGAAATAAATGATCGTGCCTTGTATGTACCATGTGGAGCTCACACTTGGAATCTTGTGATCTCAGACGCGGCAAAGTCATCGAAATATGCCATTGACTTTTTCGGTCTGATTAACAGAATATACGTTATCTTTTCTTCTTCACCTTCACGTTGGGATATACTTCAAGAACACATGCCAATATCTGTTAAAGGGTTATCGGACACTCGTTGGGAGTCGAGAATTGATGCTGTGAAGCCATTGTGTTATCACCTTGAAGAATTGTGCAATGCTTTGTCATCTTTGAGAATATGCGCTCAAAAAGAAAGATGGCAATACAGCAACAGAAGCCGGTGCGCTTTTAGACCATGTTACTACGTGGCCTTTTGTTCTGACTGTGTACACGTGGTACGATATACTATTTCACGTCAATAAAACCAGCAAATTAATTCAGTCACCAGATGTGTCAATTGACGTACTGCAGGCAGAAGCGGTGCTACAAAGAAGTTTTTGGAAGACTATCGAAATACAGGATATATCTCTGTGGTCACAAATGCACGTGAAATAGCAGAGCATATGGGTATTGAGCAGGTGTTTCCAGAAACCAGGGTGCGACGTAAGAAGAGAATGTTTGATTACGAATGTGCTGATGATTCGAGTCGTCTTTCTGTCAAAGAAAAATTCAAATCGCAGTTCTTTCTTGTTCTCACTGATCAGGCCATATCTTCTGTTTCGTCGCGATTTGACCAACTCATGGAGTGGAATAAGTTGTTTGGATTTCTGTACAACGCTAACAACCTGAAGCAGTGTCACAGAGAAAATGAACTGGAGAATCACAGCAAAAATTTTGAAAGAAAAATGGGAGACCTTGATGCCAACGAACTCATAATGGAATTGAATCGTTTTATTTATGTCATCGAGAAAGAGAGGACTTGTCACGGCAAACAATTTTTTAACGTACATATACAAGAACAGCCTTCAGGAGATATATCCGAATCTTTGCATTTGCATCAGAATTCTTCTGACCACACCAGTTACTGTCGCTGGTGCTGAAAGGAGCTTCAGCAGAATGAAACTGATCAAGAATATCCTGCGCTCAACGATGACAGGCTTTCTGCGCTTGCAGTTATCTCAATCGAAAACAAGATTGCCAGATCTCTGGACTATGACCCATTGATTAACCAATTTGCGGAGAAGAAGGCTCGAAAGAAGCGCTTTGCGTAAATACGGAATACATGTACACTGTAGGCCTATGTATACATAATATGAACCCTGTATATTGTATAAAATAAATACCGCATTCCAGTTTCTGCATTGTAAGGGGCCCCGCCCGGACATATGTTCGGAGGGGGCCACGTTCTTTGTTGCTACGGCCCTGCACATGGCTTGCACAGGTCTCTTAAACCACTGCAGATAGGGCTTATCGCCACAGAGTGATATCAAGATCTTGTTCTGTGGCTGTTTGGTGGCTCTGTTTGGTTCTCTTTCCTCTCTCACCGCAGCTACATGTGGAGAAAGAGAATGGAGGGTGATATGTTGCCTTCCTTGCTATCCACCTGTTAGGAGGCATCCAAGAGTCTCCAGAGCCTCATCTGTGGTTCTAAAGAGCCACATGTGCCTCTCCTGGCATAGATTGATTATTGCTGCTCCTCATATGACATTGTACAAAATCTGGTATGGTTCTGTGTGTAACTTAATTTTATAAAAAATTTGATATGTAATACTACTTGTAGTCTTTCTACTCCTTTCCTTCATAGGCTAGGTCTACACTACCCGCCTGAATCGGCGGGTAGAAATCGATCTCTCGGGGATCGAATTATCGCGTCTCGTTGGGACGCGACAATCGATCCCCGAATCGACGCACTTACTCCACCAGCGGAGGTAGGAGTAAGCGCCGTCGACGGGGAGCCACGGAGGTCGATTTTGCCGCCGTCCTCACAGCGGGGTAAGTCGGCTCCGATACATTGAATTCAGCTACGCTATTCGCGTAGCTGAATTTGCGTATCTTAAATCGACCCCCCCCCCCCGTAGTGAAGACCTGCCCATAGATTATCAAATTTCCTTTTCAGGGACCTAATCCTACTGCACCTAACCCTAATGTGCTGTTTTGTCTTTCCCATCCTTACTCTTCTACCTTTACCAACCTGGACTGAAAATGGGAAACTACCTCAAAAATTTTGCTATTGCTTTTCTCAATGGCTAATTAGTCTCAAGTGGTAACTGAAGAGTCCCTTACTCAATTTGTGCTGACGGGTCTGTATTGTACCTTAAATACCCATGAAAAAATAGAATGTTTTATGTTTGTATTGAAGGGAAATAGTATTTCCTGTGGAGAAAGTGTGTGCTTCCTTGATTTCACTGGGCAGATGATTCCAATAAAGAAAGAGCCTTTAAACATGGATTGGGTAGCAGGAACCATATGTTTCCTATTGTTCATCTCAATAGATTTTTCTGGAAAATGTTAATGTCCAGTTAACTTTAAATTTGCACCAGTTGCTTCCATTTTAATATTTAAAGCATGGGGTGGATATCTCCCCAATAGACATCCTTGATTCACCAGTACCTAAAATTACATCTGTAGTATTGCTTGTAGATTAAGTGATAAACTGAATTTAAATAATATTCTGTAGTATGCTCCATGTTACAATATATGCTTTTTAATGTTGCTATCTTTTGAATGTTTTGACCTATAATTTAACTTTTAGCTCTGTCTTCTGGGTATTATTAGCAGTCCTTTTGAAATGATGCCTTTCTAACTTATTTTACAGGTGATCAAGCTAGAAACTTTTTTTTCCAATCTGGATTACCTCAACCGGTGTTAGCACAAATATGGCAAGTATATTAAAAAAACCTTCAGTTATATTGGAGCAAGTAATTCAATTACACACACTTTACACTTAACATGCTGCTATTTAAAATCACTTGCTTTGCTCAGCCCATAGGCTAAAAGTCAACAAGACAAAAGCCTTGTTGCTATGATCCGGCTGTGAATATTTTTAAAGTTACTAATATATTTAGTATGCCTCTTGCTGGAGGTAGCCATCTTATTGGAAAGTGACATTTGTAACCAAGTGGTTTGGTAGGAAGTGTAAGAAGAGACCATATAAAATGTTTCCAGCTTTGTTAAACCAATATTAATATAGTCATAAAATGCAACAATTATTTTTTTTTAAATACTAAGATACTAGATATACTAATGGGACTGTTAAACCAGATCTAGACAATTGTCATAACATTTATAATCTGCATAAAATCTACTCTCATCATAGTTCAGTGATAATGGAGTTTAAGGCAGGAGAGGAAGAACAATGATTTTATTATTCCTGGGTGAGTGAACAAGTACAAATTTGCAAAGCTATGTTAAACTGCTAATAAACCCAGTTGGAAACTGGTACCTAGTTTCTTCATGTAGGGCTTTCAAATTGCTACTGTTCCAAATCATATCAAACTTTGACTCAGAAATGCTAATTTTAATGAAAATCTTGAAGAAAATATATTCTCTTCCTACTTGACCTTCCTTCTAAACTTAGCAAAATGAATATGATTTTCCTTGGCACATTGCACTGGCAGTGGGGGGAGGGGGGATCACTGTGTTGACATGGTATCTACATAGATGAAAGTTAACGTTAACCAGTAAATACAATGAGTTGTTTTCCATGGTATCTCCTTATTGTGGCCACTCTTACTTTTATACTAGTAAAAATGTCTCAGTATTTCATTCCCTTATGGAAAGCGTGGCTCTCTATGAAAAAGGAGAGTTATCTTGCAAGAAGACAGCTGCTTTGGAAATGAGTAGCTGCCTTCTTGCTGCTTTATGACAAGGCTTGAAAGAGGGTGTGTGTGTGTGTGGGGGGGGGATTTGCTTCATTTTCAACCGTTCTCAGCCAAATCTTTGGCCTGTAATGCAATGGCAAGAAGGCAATTATATTGATAGCCAAAGGATGTCACAATAGTTGTTCAAAGCAATCTGAGATGTAAAGAAACAAGAAATTGTGACCTTCCCCCATTTGAGGGGTAAGATACTCCAAAGGACATCTTTATGTGGTGGAATAAACAATCAGTAGTATAGTTCCCAAAGGTCTTGTGATAGCTTCAAATCTTTGTGCTTATTCATGTGGATCCATTGTCACTTCTTGGTCTGAGAGACTTTCGGCTTCCATGGCAGAAGTGTGTGTATAGCACTTATGTAGGAAAAGCTTCATGAGTTGTCACAAGATCTGTTCAGTGGATTCGTCTGCCTCAGTCTTTAGCTCAAGTGCTCTGTACGCTGTTTCAGACTATAGGTCCAGATCTTTGTATGTGGGAAGAAAGCTATTTACAATCCTTAGTTTTCTATCTGTATTCTCTATTTCCCTGTCTAGTTGGAGTTCACCACTGACAAAACCCCCAGTTTGTTAGGACTACCACACTGTCATTTTCTATGAAGTTTATAGAATCTATAAGAAAAAGTTAAAACAAAAACAAAAAGCAACTTAAGGCCCCCAATTCTGCAAATGTTTAATTACATGTGTATCTTTACTTGCCTAATTATAATTTATTTCCAAGGTCTTCAGTAGGGCTACTTGCTTGAGGTAAAGTTTTGCATATGATAGTGTTGGCAGGATTGGGGCCTAACTCATTAACTTGTTAGATTCATGGCTCCAAAAACCAAGTCTGATGTAATGCAAAGTCACATCTGCTTTTATAGATTCTTTTGTTAGCTATGGAAGCACTTGTCTGGGGAAGTACAGCTGTGAGGCAGGAATTGCAGAGGGTTTGGCCTTGTTGACTGATAGTTCAGACAGGCTTCAGATCTGTTACAGGAGGAGTAATGCATTTTAGAATTGTCAAAGATATATCATCTCATAATTTTAAAAAGAAAATCTGGCTTGCATATTTTTTAAAATATCTTCAAGTTTGATTTTAAAAGGTATAGTTCTCTTTTAAATTTGGTGAAAACTGGATTGCTATTTTGAGTAATGCAAAATCTGTTTTCACTAAAATAGAACGTCAGGAAAAGCTACCTAGTTGAAATGGTGTTTAAATATCTTCTGCCCAACAGAGCTATTTTGAAAATATTTTGAAGCTGCAGTAATTCGTTTTTAGACGTGAGACTACATGAAGGCTGTATAATAAAATTAAAATAGCAATAATTCAGTTCTTAACAAAACATCTGTGAGAATGTTGGGAGTTTTGTAGCGCAGCCCGAGGAGCTGCTATGGTTTATCATGACAATTCTTCTGATCTACTTTTTTCAGGCTTTGTTGTCTGTCAAACCAGTAATCTATAAAGTGTCTAAATAGTCTTTGAAATGAGACCGTAATGATTCAGAAGGTAAGAACTATTTTTAACAAGGCCATAATCTGGATTTCTTCCAAAACCCACAGTGCTGTTCCTCCCTCCTGAAATCCTCCACCCAGTCCCCTCATCTCTAGCTTAGTTTAAACTAGTACTGGAAATAATCAGTGCAAGCTGCTGCTTATTATATTCAGAGTTCTAGTTCTGCAGCGAACATTAAAATAGTTGGTAGATTTACCCTCTTCTGACACCTGCTTTCCTCCTAATAGTATCAAATTTGTGGAAGTTAGAAGAATAATGGGAAAATGTTATGGTCGGGCAGACCCTGGGATTTTACTATTTAATGTGTACAGTAGTATAATGACACTCAAAACTTAATTCCTGCTGTTGTGTTTGAGTTTCATGGTTTAGGATGAATATGGGAATTTAAGGCTAGATTTAGTCCAGATCTTCAGTTGCAGTAGAACTTCCTTGCTGGAGTGTGTAACATCTAAAAATAACCTTCAGAAAGATATTTTTGTAGTTTAATAAGCCATGCTCTAAGCAGCACAAATCCTGCCTGCCCAATCCTTGCCCTCACCATCAATCTCGCAGATGGGAACATTGCAGAGATTCCACTGCAAGGTATGGGGAAGATGGTAGTGCCGCTTCTACCAAAGTGTAGGCGAGGAGAGATTGATGTGAAGAGGACCCCTTTTGCACCTAGATTTTGGGGGTCTGATTCAGCCTTTTGCAATTATCCAAGTGAAAAAATCTACAGTTATGAACACAGGAACATTTTATAGATATAATAAATCTGTAATCAATTTACTGTCCTATGCTGGTTTCCAGCCAGGTCTCAAATAAATGAATTAACGTACATTAAGTTCTTCCTAATTTTGTTATAACCGGATACTTTGTGTTTTGTGGAACAGTGAAATGTAGGTGGTAGTTACTGTCAGATACTCACAGCACTCCAGGCATAGCTTTGTATTTCTGCTAGCACACTGCAATCATTTAAATGTGTGTAAATACTGCTGCCTTCTAGTTGTACTTCATTTTCCTGAAATTTATGTGAAGTTGAGTAAAATAGCAAAACTGTTCAACTACAGCAAATGAGTAGAATAGCAGGAAAGACATTAACTAGAGATGAAAGATTTTATTGACTAAATGGGTAGACAGGAGTTTTCTCATTCAGTGAACATAATTGGAATTGTCATATCTTGTTTCTGATTATTATTAATTGCACATAGAAGGAATCTGTAGATTAAAAATGTATTGTCCAAAATGTGGGAAACTACTAATGAAATAATATCACCTAGATGTAATGCTTTCCATTAGTAGATCTCAAAGCGCTTTCAAAGGAGATCATTATCATGTAATGTCTGAATGAACCAGTCACATACAATGTGATGATACTTAATAGTATTCTCATTGTCAGGTGTATGGCAGTAGTTTGTACATAAAAGTTGATTATGTAGTTGTAGAAGCCTTCTGCGCAGAACAAATAAGCACTGTTACAAAGGCATTTGCTTAAATATTTTACACCCCACCCCCGCTATTGTACCACTATATCCCAGCATCGGAAATCACTTAATTGCTTGAACTGACAGTGCCAATTGGATAGGCTCAGCAGAACTGACTTCTACATATGAAAAGTGAGAGACCTGTTTAATGGGGAAACCACCAATTGCTCAGAGTGTGATCAAAGAAATCTGTCAGAGTAGCTTTCTTCAGGCAGTCTCTTTCTCTGATTTATCTTTATGGTTAACCACCTCAGGCCACATATACAAACTTTTTTTTTTTTTTTTTTTTTTTCTACCTACCAGTTACAACTTGGGGTCTGAATAAAGGATGACTAAACCCTGAAGAAAACTTTAATCATAATAAACATGCTTTTCCTTTGAGTATGCTTGTAGCCTGAGTGGCCTTTTTATTTGCCCTCTCCAGCCATAGGGAAATGTCCACTCTGATCTTCTTGTCGAAACTTAAACTATGCGTTTCTTCGATAAAGGAATGATATTTTAGTTCAGTACAGCAGTTGTGGGGTAATATGCACAAGGCTGAAGTCTAATTGATAGTAATTTGCTATTTGAACTCAGTTGATTAGTGTCTCTACTCTAACTATATGTTTTGAGTTCTTCCTATCTGGTTCATCATATAGGTTTTTTTTTTTTTTTTTTTTTTAAGTATTCTGTACAGCATGTGTCTGGTTGCTTGTGACAAATGTATCTGTATTCCCAGTAGAGTAGCAAAAGGCAAAAAGACTTTAGGGAAGTTAATCAAACTCTTGGTATACATACACACCAATATATAGGACTATAGGGAGACATTGCATTTGGTAGCTGGCAGAAAATGGACAGCCCTAATGAATTAGGCTATGTAACAAGTCTACTTTGCTTTTTAACTTTTTCCAGGAGCAATTCTGTTCCTTCTAGCAAAAACTCCATCTTTGTTATAATCTATAAAGTTCCCTTCCTGTTGCCTACAACTTGTCGGGGGGAGGTTCTCTTGCCTGCAATAAGGTTCCCTCAAACCTCTAACATTCTCAGTCTGATATAAGTATCTTGTATTTTAATTCTCTTTGGGCTAGTCTACACTGGCAGTGGCAGTGCTTTAACATGGCTTGTGTAGTCGCGGCAGAGCGCACTCCAAAAAAACCACTTCCACGAGGGGCGTAGTGACCAGTGCTGGGAGCCCAGCTCTGGTGCACTGTCTACACTGGCGCTTTACAGTGCTGAAACTTGCTGCGCTCAGGGGGAGGTATAGACAAGCCTTTGCTCATACAGCAGGAGATACTGATTTCTTATCGTTTCAGGGAGGCCTCCATCATGGTGAGGTTGTGAGAGGAGGAGGAGATGCGCTATAGCTTACCCTCTCAAAAAAAGCATAATTCCTCCATTAGTTTGGGTTGGTTTTGCTCATCTCATCTCTTCATTCTGACTGTTGGGAACTACTTACTTAGCTGCCATGTCACTGCCACACAGAGCCTTTATAACAGCTGAAGCTATAAGAACAGGAGTACTTGTAGGGTTACCATTCGTCCGGATTCCCCCGGACATGTCCGGCTCTTTAAGCTAAAAATAGCGTCCGGGGGGAATTTGTAAATGTCCGGACTTCCCCCTGATGCAGAGCGCGCGCGGCTAACAGTGCTGCCGGACGGACGGTGTCACTTACATGGGGCTCTGACACTCAGCCAGAGAGGGCTCCTCCTCCCTCCCTCCCTCCCTGCATCGCAGATCGGCTCCGGCAGTCTGGAGCTCCTCCCCCACTGCTGCCCAGCGGCTCAGGCAGTTCCTGAGCAAGTTCACCGAGACATTAGGTGAAGAAAGGCCAACAACAAGGGGGCCAGGGGGTCGGAGAAGGGGCAGGGAGGTTTTGGAGGGGGCAGTCAAGAGACGGGGGGGG